CTTCGATGTAATCAGAACAAAGATAGTTGGGGCAAGGCTGAGAATTGTCCATTTTTATTGGTTAACAAGATATCCCAACATGCATTTGTATGTGAATTTGATGAGTGAATGTTCTTAGCAAGAATTCCTATGGACTGGAACCAAAACACTGTGATCACCATATAGATAGATAGGAACAAACAGACTGAGATAAACAGATAAATGCAGACTGAGGTAGATATGAAGGTATATATGAACTCATCAGCATGTAGATGTATAGATAGAAAGAAGCAGACTGAAAGATACAGACACTAAGTAGATATGAAGACAATGTATTCAACGTAGAGATAGAAACACACTGAGCTAGAGTGATAGATAGAAACTGATGTAGATATGAAGGCACTGTGATCAACATACAGATAGATAGAAAGAAGCAGACTGATAGATAGAGACTGAGTAATATCTGTAGGCACTGTAATCAACAAATACATGCAAAGAAACAGATTGTATAGGTATATATAAACAAGGTGGATTAAGCATGAACAGGTAGTGACTGATTGTTAATTTCATTGACACACCGATTTTATATATAAACCAAAATGATGTATATTATTATATATATCTCATTTACATAAAAATACAGCTACTTAGATAAACAAACACATATAGAGATAGACACGAGTGTATTTAAATCATGCCTTACTTCAGGGTGATCGTTTGATGATGTGATTGTTGGAGGCACTTTTGATGTTTTTGCACTAGAAAGTTTGACAACTTCTATCTATTTATATATCTATCTATTTATCTCAGTCTGTTCATATCTATCTATCTATCTATCTATCTATCTATCTCTGTTCATATCTATCTGTCTGTCTGTCTATCCATCAATCAATTTATATCTCTCACTCTGTTCATATATATCTTAGAGTGTTCATTATGTATCTTATCTCTCAATATATTCATATTTCTCTATCTATCCATATCTATCTATTTCAGTTTGTTCATATATATATATCTATCTATGTTCTTTTATCTATATAACTCTCTATCTCTCTGTATATTCATATCTATCTATCTCAATCTGTTCATATCTATATTAGGCTGTTCATGTCTATCCCAGTTTGTTCATTATCTATCTATCTATCTATCTATCTATCTATCTATCTATCTTTCACAGTCTGTTCATATCTATTTATCTTAGTCTGTTCAATCTATATTATATATATAATATATATATATTTTATATATATTCAATATATATTAAACACACACACACACACACACACACACACACACACACATATATATATATATATATATATATATATATATATATATATATATATATATATATATAAAAAAAAAGCTTAAACACTAATATTCCATGGTCATAAATTTTAAATATGACCATGGAATATAAGTGTTTAAACCTTTTATTATATCCTTACTCTGTCCTGGACATTGAGTTCTACCTGGATTCTATCCTCTTGGAATTTTATTCAAAAAATATACATGTATTGGTATTTATATATTTTGCATATGTATGTATATTTACCACTAATATTATCATCTATCTATCTATCTATCTATCTATCTATCTATCTATCTATATATATATATATATATATATATATATATATATATATATATATATATATATGAAACATATATATGTGTATATATATATATATATATATATATATATGAAATATATATATATATATATATATATATATACAAAATATATATATATATATATATATATATATATATGAAACATATATATATATATATATATATATATATAAAAACATACACATGCATATATAATTGACATATCTAAAACAAAAAATCACAAGACAGGTTAATAAAAATGCACAAGATATTGCTTCAGATATTGGTACAGGGTTTGATAAAATGTGACTATGATCAGTACTGATAACATTGTGAGACAGATAGCAAAATGGATATACTCGTATAAACTCTGATCTTTCCCCTCATTAAAAAATTCAAGAAAATATGCCTCGAATAAGAAAATGTGGATTGCAGGGAAATCCTCCAGTGTCTGTTGCTTCAATTCCACATAAATTGCTTCTCAACAAATCTGATTTTGATTTGGAATTTGTCTGCCTGTCTTGCTTCGTAATAAAAATTGCTGAAAATATGTCAGGAAGCATTAGAGCAAAAATTCCTAAATTGAGAAAAAAAAATACCCCAAAAAACAAGATAAGAAGAACTTGGAGATGAAATTGAAAACAAAAAATAAAAGGAAAATGAACGAAGGTTTAGGAAGAAAAAAATGGCGGTTTTCTACAATTTCATTATTATGATGTCAAAACCTAAAAGACTCTTCTTGCAAGGGAGAAGACTCATTTAGATAGTGTAGCTCATCTTTTCGATCTGTTTATGAGAGATGGTGATTTCAAATTCCAAGCATGAAGCAGGCAGGCCTGATTTGAGCAGGTTTCTCTGAAGCTTCTATAGAAGGTCAGAGTTCATTGATCTCGCTGGTATTGTGATGACACTGTTAACCCCACATTTTCTCGATAACCGCTAAAAGGAAAATTGAAGGAAAGGAAAGACAAGGCAAAGAAAAGAAAAAGGCAAGAAAACAGGAAGAAAAATAAATGAGAAAAGAAGAAGTAAAAAATGGCACATTTCCTTCTGAAAGAACGAAAATAATCAAAAGCTTTCAGCTCAGGATTGAAAAGGTTGTAAATATGTACAGAATGCAAATGCTAGAAGAACTACTTCTCTGTTTAATTTGAGGATCAGAGATACTCTCATCATTTAAGGTTCATGCCTTTTCAAAAGTAAATCTCTGATAATAAAGAAAGGAATATGAAATGTTACCAGATTACCAAATTGTAGCTAATAACCGATACAATGATACTGACATAAGGAAAATCTAGACATCCCTTGTTCAATTTAAGTAGAATATTCTGTAACCATGGAAATGTGATTTTAGCTGTGTCTTTAAAACCTGGTAATTTTTAAAAGTTACTCCAAAATTCGCTTGAAGATGAAATGGAACTAATGCTTTTAATTTAATTGCAAAATTAAATTCGTGGTTTTTAGCTTCTATTTTTAAAACATGGTTGGAACTGTGTAGCGAAAAAAAACATATTTTAAATCAATTAATTTATAATATTAATGCTCTGTAAATTTACATTGAGCACTATTTTGTAAAAATAAAAATATCTATAAGAACACCGGATTTTATATCTTACTGTTCTTTTCTTTTTATTTATATATATATATATATATATATATATATATATATATATATATATATATATATATATATATATATATGTGTGTGTGTGTGTGTGTGTGAAAATTTTCAAATAGAGTATATCTCTATGAGACACTCGTAAATATTCATCAGGTTAACTGAAAAGTTTAAGTAAATTATTGAAGATGCTAAGTGACATAATTTAATGTCTAAGAAATGAAAGTGAATAAATGATGTTGAATTTTTTGATGCAATTAATATTTAAATTGTGTTTCTATTCAATAAATTTATGTATTATATATTTTTTAAATAGCAGAAGGTTATGAATTTAACAAGTTTCTTTTATTTTTTTTGCATTTTTATAGTCATCTTTGTTGACTTGAGAAAGGAGTAATTCTTTCAAGAATGGAGATATTTGAAAAATCCAGGGCATAGGTTTATATTTTGATAAAATTCAATAGTGGGACGCACAAGAATTTTCTGTCTTAGTAAGTTATTTTCTTTTTGAATAATTTTAGCATTCTTTAGATTAAAGCTGTAATAAATAAAATTTAAGTAGACAAGATGCCAATTTACACTATTTACATTGTTCAGACTGTTGTCCTGGCCCCAGTGGATAAAAGTGTTGGTTGAAGTAATCCAGTTACTTGAACCAAAGAGATGTGAGTTCAATACCGGGTCACAGCAGGGATGAACAAAAACTTGGAGAGTCGTGTTACTAAAGGGAGATAACTGAGATATCCATAAATGTCATAACCCATGGAATGAGAACAATCTACCCCAGTGGACTAAATAAAGGGTTCGTCTCGAAATTCCATTGTATGTTACCTGAAGAATGCCAGACTGTACAATGGCTGAAATGCTGTGAATATGACAATAAAGATGCAGAAAACAGTTCAAACAATGTAAATAGTGTAAATAGTTACAATACCTCATCTTAAAAATATAGGCAGAAGATGCTGATTGTCATTACATTTAAATTTTTGAAGATCAAAGTTGATCAGGAAGCCAGAAGTTGGAAGTAAGTTCCACAAGCAAGAAGTGCAAGGATACATGGTTGAGTGAATAAAAGCATTGGTTAGATCTTGTGACTTGATCCAAAGAGTTGAGAGTTCAATACCTGGCTACTTCAATTACCAACAGCTGAAATGTCATGAATATGGCAATAAAGATGATCACAAAAGTCTGAACAATATATATATATATATATATATATATATATATATATATATATGGGAGATGATTGTTGTTTTGTTGGTCCAATGAGAGAAAAGTGTATATTTTAAAGAGAGAAAAAACCACAAACGTTTTTTATCATTGCATATTTTGCGACATGTGTTCCAGGTCTTGTGAACTTCCTGAGATGAAGAATGATTAGTTCAACATATTATTTAAAGAATTAATTTTTTTCCTCCTATGTTAAAATTTTTAACCACTGTGTTTTATATATATATATATGTGTAGTCTGTTGGGTCATCAGATCATTACTCAAACATATATTGTTAAATATAAAAGACAACAAATGTCTGTTATGTTTGAGTTCATGTCAGAAATAGAAATTTAACTGTGAAAGCTTAAAAAAGAAACAGCCAAAATAATTATATATATATATATATATATATATATATATATATATATGAATAAAGACTAAAGGAAAATTTATCTTAGCTGATGAGGTTCATCCACTGACAAAATATTTTTTTATACAATTAATATTTAGATTATTTTAGTATGGGATAAATTTATGCAAAAGGAAAATGGTTAAATTCATAAGCTTCTGTTATTT